ACAGAAAAAAGATTTAATTGAAGTAAAAAATGATTATATTAATTCAAAATTGAATTCCATTTTTAATGATATTAATAAGGATTTAAAAAATCATATTAAGAAAACTAATAATTTGGTTAATGCTATTAGTTTATCTAAAAATTATTTAAGTATTAATTCTAGAAGAATTTTTAATGTAAAACCAAGCATTAACGACTATGATGTTGTCATAAAATCTGAGTTAAATGAAGTTTTAAATTCTATTATTAAGATTGGCAATGATCATTCAAAAACTAAACAGGATTTAAATGAATTGGTTAATTCATTATTTAATCTAAAAACATATGTTGAAGATTTAGAAAAACAACTTGAAGGTAAACTTGCTGAAGTGATAAGATTAGTAACTGCTGGATTAGCACAAATAGCAAGTTTTACATTAGAAGATAAACTTAATACAGAAAACCAAGAAGATGAATAATTTTTACTATATAAATGGAGTTTATTTACTGTCTTAAATGTAAACAAAAAACCAATTCTAAAGACATTCAAGCAATAAAATTAAAAAATAAAAATATGATTAACGCAAAATGTTGTATATGTAATTCAAAGAAAAGTAGTTTTACAAAAAATTCCTCCTAATAAATGGCTCTGTATAATTCATTTGATTATTTCATTATCAGAAACCAATTTCTATTAACTAATGAAGATTGGGATATTATTTCAGAAAAATATGAATTGAATGATGAGATGATTAGATTGTTTCAAAATAAATTGAATTGGGAAAAAATTGCTAAATATCAAATTTTGAATGAAAAGATTATTACTGAATACATAAATTATCAGTTAAAAGATCATATTGATTTGATTTGTAAATACCAAACATTATCTCAAAACTTTATTGAAGAATACAAATATATGTTGGATTGGGAATTACTTATTGAAAACCAAAACTTATCTGCTAAATTTATTGTTGATAATGTTAAAGAAATTCAATATTTTAAAGATAAAAATGATTATGATACTGTTGATTAAACATTTTTCAGTTGATTGAATAGATTTCAGTTGATTAAAGTTCAAAATTAATAAAATTTTACTTGTTTTAAAAAACCTTTTTCTTTCCATATTTTTTCATAAATTTCTCATTAATAAATGGCTTATACTTATGAAATTGAAAGAGCTGAATATAAAAGTTTTTATCCTTTATCTAAACTACATTTGAATGAACCAAACAAAAAAACTGAATTTAATATTGATTTTGGTGATGGATTTTGTTCATCTAAGTTTCAATTTTATATTTCAGGATCATTTAAAAAATCTGATGATAAAGACTATGGTGCTACGGATAATGTAAAGTTGATTAATAATTTTGTACCATTCTTATTTTCAAAAATTGAAATTAGAAAACATAATAAATTAATTGAGGAAATCGAATATCCTGGACAATTAAGTACAATAAAAGGTACTGTTACTTATTCAAAAACAGAAGCAGTATCCAACATTTGTGATGGATTTCAATCAGATTTCAAAAAAACATTTGAAGCTGTGGGTAATCTATCACATTTTGGATTAGGTTTCTTTGAAAATGTTAATGTTCCAATATACAAAGGAGGATTCAATATATGTTTTGTTAGATCTGAAGATAATGATGCTATTTTTAGATGGAAAACTAAAAAAGTTGATGGAACTTTTGATGATACTACATTACCAGGTGTTGGAAAAGTAATTATTGATGACTTTTTCATTAGAGTTCCAATAATTGAGTATAAAACTACAAGTAAAATTCAATATATTAATGAAATAACTAAAAAAGAAAAAATACTATTTCACTTTAATCATTGGCAATGTATTGAACAAAAGACAATAACTGGAAAAACAGTTAGTTTTGATATAACAAATATTTATCGAAACATCTATAATCCAAAATTTATAATAATTGGTTTTCAAAAAGGTAGAACTAATGATGATGTGTTGATATGACACTTCAAAATTTGATAGTATGTATATTAAAAATATTAGAGTAAAATTAAATGGTCTCTATTATCCTGATGAATTAATGAATCTAGATATAAATAATGGAAAATTTAGAATTATATATCAAATGTATCAAGATTATAAAAAGGTTTATTATAACAATAGTGAAATGTATTATGATCCAACAGAATTCATTGAAAATAGACCATTGTATGTGATTGATACTACAAAAACTACTGTAAATATTTCAGGATCAAAAAATGATATAATAATAAATATGGATTTTGATTATGATATAACTGTTGCTAGTAAAACTAATTGCTATGTAGTTGTTGTGTCTGAAAGATTATTAGAGTATAATGTGATTAAAAATTATATAACTGAAATCAAATAAAATTGTTATAAAACCACCATTTATTTACTACTTTTTGACATATTTTTCAAAATATTATTATATTTTATGAATAATAAGACTACTATTGTTAATTTAAAATTTGTTTCATAAAAAAAATAATAAATAAGAAAATTTTGATTTTCAAGGTCACAGGAAATAAATATTTTAAATTATATTATTTAATAAATTTGTACTTACCTTATAGATATATCATACCAAATTTCATGAAAATATCTTTAAAAACAAAGAAGTTATTAAGGTTTTTAGTTTAAGGGTAGTTCACCCCAAATTGGAAAATTTTAGTAAAAACATTAATTTTTAACATAATTATTAATAATTTTTAAGTTTCAGGATTTTTTGATAATTTTTTCAATTTTTTAAAAATAAAATAAAAAATAAGGGATGAAACTACCCTTTACATAAATCAAAAAATTATTTAATATTCAACATATCTGTATACCAAAATTAATCAAAATTGGAAAACACATGAAATATAACACTTATAAGTTTTAATACCATATTTTTACCATAATTTAAGCAACATTTTAATTCAGAGGAATAATAAAGAAATCTCATTTTATGGTGTTGGCTAACTTGCTTGCGTTTGACACTAGCGAACCTAGCGGGATGACCTTGCGTAATGCGACGATCATAGTACCATTTATCTGATCTTTTATATTGCCATCTAGTAGACTTGACACTTTGTAGCTCAATCCATTTGTTTGTTTCATTCTATTTCTATTTAGACTTAGCATTGATTATATATTTTAAGCATATATTATAAAACATTTTTCAATTAGTTAAAATAAATCAAAACAATCATATAAATCCACACTGCATTTTACTAACATTCTTTTAGTTATTATTTTATTCAATCACTTATTTTCATCAAAAGATCAACCAAACAAATTAGGCCATAGACTAATATTCCTTCAATAACATTATATTTACAACGCAATTTGTTTTTGTTGATTTTTACATTATCTTTAATCGTACAGAAATGTATAATATATGAAATAGCATTAATTTTTAACAAGCTTTTCATTGGTGATATTTATTTTCAATTTATATCAATACTTATCTTTTTATCTTAAGATTATCATTTTTGATAACATTTCATGTTTAAGTTTAAAATGATTTAAAATAAAATATAGACTTATAATACATCAAATATCATTAGAATTTTCTGAGAAATTCAATACTTTTAATAAATTTTGAATAACTCAAATAGGAAACATATTATTTACAAAAACAATAATTTAAATAAAATATTTAGAATATTTGAATAAAAAATTTAAAAATTTTACTTGTTTTTAAAAACATTTTGTTTTGTAGTCAATTTTATGGAAAATATGGACATATTCATGAAAATTTCATCAAAATTATATACTTTTTCTAGAAAAATATGAAAATGTTAGAAATTGACCTAAAAGGGTAAAAAATATAGCATATTGTATAAAAAAATAGGAAAATTCATTTAATTTTTGAGTGGCTCCGTTTTTGGCCCAGAAGTGACATGAATATATCTACTTATATATATATATAAATATATATATATATATATTGTTACAAGTCAGGAGCCCCGCGCAACAATAGCCAGGCGCCGTATCAAAAGGGTTGTTTGTTTACACGGGGTTCTCGGAAAGACAATAGACCCATGTCAACGGACTACGTCAATAGGGGTTTTGACATATACCAGAAGCTTCCACAGCGATCTGTAAGCACCTTTGTCTAGCCTACGAGTAGTCTCTAGAATGTTCCACGGCAAGCTTATATAAGGGACCGTCTTCCGGCACACGGCAGTTGAGTTGAGTTAAGTCTTCCGAGAATCATCGAAGCGACGGCACGCCGGTGTTAGTGACCAGTGCTAGTGGCAGTGACAGTGTAGTGACAGTGAGAGTAACAGTGTTGTAACTCTAGTGACAGTGTAGTGACAGTATTGTAACAGAAGTGATAAATCCTGTAGAGGCTAGCTGTAATTAGAAACATTGTAAATTAGAATAGGCTTTAGCTAGGTTTAGATAGGGTTAGTTAGGTGTTAGGTAATTTTAATATTTGTAAATAGAGAATAATACGTGTAAATAAAAAAGTAATATAAAATCGCCAAGTTTTTATTGTAAGAACCTGTCAAGCCCGCAACAATATGAATTTGAACAGATGGTGTTTTTGGCCTCTAGGGACCTCAAAATGAAAAATTAAATCGGTCTCGGGTCCAGGTCTTACCATGAGTACTACGGTAATAGCTTATTCCCTATATGGGAAATTCACTAAAAATTAAAACTAGATCCTAAAATGACACTAAAAGTATTTTTGGTTTCAGTAAACAGGTCTAAGAAAATACATCCAGCCAATGACAGTTAATTTTGAAATGCTAAATAAATAAATCATCCCAACTATGACCCTAATAGATAATATTTAGCAATAATGTACTCAACATCACTAACAGCATGATAGGGAATTTCTTGGATTAATATATCTTTTTGTAGAAAAGAATGTCAGACACAAATAACAAGGACTGCAATGGAATTCAGCCAAGAAAAAAGTAAACAAAACCACAACAATTGTAATTAACAACTAAAATATAATATGGTGATAAATAAATACAAAGTACATAGAACATTGTGTCGTCATGAAACATATTACACTTTTCATTTACCTTTTTCCATTTAAGATGTTCCCCGTTGTTGTAAAGGGGCAGATGAGTAACTGACTTACAAACTCTACAGACACTAAACCAGTTATCACGAATCCTTATGAAGACAAATTCTTTGCCATTTGTTTTATCATTTTTATCAACAGCAATCGTCAATGAATTAGATGGTGATAAATAAGATGAAAACCCGGAGCAATCGTAATTTACAGTCAAAATGTGATTGTTGTTGTCGAACAAACTAAGGTAGTATTTGTTTTGTTCTGACCGTAGGCAAAGTAGTGTCAGTACTGTATACTTCTCTTGTTTGTACTTTGCTACCAAAACCATCGATCCGGTGTTGTCTTCTATTGTGATACCACCTGTAAAACAGCCAGCAGTGAATTATCAGCATAGTTATTTTGATGTGTTGTAATCGTAGCGTATTGCAACTACCGTTTTTAGCGAATTTCCCATATAAGATATATAAAAATAAGATTTTACTATAGGTCTCATGGTAAGGCCTAGACGCGAGAGTGATTTAATTTTAAGTTTTTATGTCCCCAGAGGCCAAAAACTGCAGCAGTTCAAATGCGTATATTATATAATATAATTATGTGAAATAGTAAATCATATTAAAGCAAACACATTGGTATAGGCCTACTGAAGCGTTTTTTGGAGGGTAATTAATAAATTGTTGTATTTAGCCTAAGGATATATTTTGTTCAAATTTCGAAAACAACTGTTTTTTTTTTACAAAGCTATTACCATTTCAAGGATATATCTTGAACGAAACCAGAAAAAGGGACTTTTATTACCATTGTAAACTAAATACAAGTATTGTAATTAAAACTTACTCGCTGTAACAACTACGTCGTCTTTGTTTTTGGTCTCTCTATTTTGGGTAGACTTAGTTGGCTGGAAAAGAAATTCACTATTAGGACCAAGTTTAAGACTTAGTAGATATTCTACGAATCTCACATTCATCGTTGCTTACTTCAGGGTCAGTTTATATTCATTTAGAGTAAATAGTTTTATATTGTGTCAGTACTTTAAATGAATTTTTCCTACACCGAAAATATACTACTTCTTGTAGCAAGCAATGATCCTTCTGCTGCCTAATGTAGCAATTTACATATGGGTATTTAGCTAGAAGTGGTTAAGGTGTGGTGGAATATCTTGTAGATGAACCTTTTTGGCTGTAGTGCGATCGTGTGTTCATATGTGTCAAATTTTGAGGTTAAATCAAAACAAACAAACATAGATGTTAAGAGTTTTTAAAACTAAACGTAAATCATCATTACTGTATGTACCAACAGTAATTTGATGTGTATTCTAGTCACAGCAACCACATTATTTTATTAATTTAATGATCGAAATTAATTATGCAAGAAGATTTAATATCTTAATATTTTCTCATATAATTAGCTATTTTCATAGCAACCATCAACTGATTTGGATACAATAATTAAATAACAACTTATTAACTATATAATAAACTAGTTGATTTGGATTTAGGAATCACGTTTGTATTTCACAGTAAATATTCTATAAATGGCCAAGTACTTTATAAAAGTAGGCTAGAGTAAGTTTAAAGTATATTTCATCATTGTCAATTCCAAAAATATAATTATGCCAGTTTGTTTAGATTTAACCTCAAAATTTGATAGGTATGAACACATGATCGCACTACTGCCATAAAGCATAAAGGTTCATCTTCAAAGATATTCCACCACTCTTTGACCACTTCTAGCTAAAAAAATCCAACCGTACATCTATTGCTCATGTTATACTTGTGTTTATTATAAATACAAATTTTTATTCGTATTGCCTCAAGGATAGATTATTTAATTAAAAACTAATATTCAATATACATTTTCATCAATCCTGTATTAATGTCAGCGATTTGTCTCTGAGAGTAATTGATTTGTTCAAGCAACATAACGTTGCCTCAACTCAACCAACCTAAATCAAAATTGACGGCCTTAAATAGTCCCGAAGACACAGGAGTATATAAACTCCACTGCCCTAAAGTATATTTCGTCAATTTATGATGCGCTTTCGTGAATAGATCTCTACAACATATTCCTACATTTAGAACACTACATTCAAAGTACACTAGAAGAACACCTAATAACGGAAACCGACAAAGGCAATGTGAAGTGAGCTAAATTTAAAGTAGAGAAGATGTGGTTATTATTATTATTATTATTATTATTTTTGGTGGTATTGACTACAAACATGAGTTCAACTAACTTTACGAAGACAATAAGGCTAAAATTTATAAATAAAAAACTTTTTTAAAACAAAACGTTTTTAAACGCACTAAAAAGTAGGAAATCTATATATATAATTCTGTAAGACAAATTTTTTACCAGAAAATTGTGGACGTCTGGTAAGTCGCAGAAAAGTGGGAGAGGTCTTAAATTGAAGGTCTTGACCCCAGGGACTCGGGAAAAATAGCAGAATTCCCATAAAGTTGCCATAAAACGAGATATAACGTAAAATATCCACCATAAGAAATGCATGGGGACTGAAAATTGTCTGCATTCTATCAGCTGTTACTTATTTATTTGTAATGTTTACATTTATTCCAAAAGTAAATGTTGGTAAATAATGTTTCAAAATGAATTGTGTTAAATTTTTTTTGTTTTTCGTATTTGGCCTAAACACCTAAAACAGTAAGGCCTGTTTCCCGGAATCTCTTTTTGTGCAGTGGAAAGCGACGCAAAAGCCATTGCACTGTTGTATTGCCTTATGTTCGTTTTTTTTTTATTATGAGTGAAGTAACTAGAAGTAAGACCTGCCAGACGTGGAAGAGTATCCAGGAATTCAACAGACTTAAAAAATGCAAAAAGAACGTCATGTAGGGCCTAACTGCGAAAGAAATCCAGAAGCTGTTTTACCACCTGTCTTTATAAGAACGCTGGAAAATGAGTTGAGTGTTGTTTCTCACAATCTAGGTTCTCTTAAAGCACTTGCATGCATTGTGGCGCATTTCACTTCGCAGAGGAGGCCACAAATGGACATTTCAACGCATGTTGCCACAATGGACATGCCACAACCACAAGTAAATGACGATGATTCGAACTTTATAAAAAACATAAGGCAATACAACAGTGCAATGGCTTTTGCGTCGTTTTCCGCTACACAAAAAGAGATTCCGGGAAATGGGCCTTACTGTCTTAAAATTCAGGGACAAATGCGTAGATATATTTCTGACTTACTACCGCGAAATGGGGAGTTGCCTTCATAATAATTAACAATAATTTTGACCTCTACATGTGGTTCTCAAAATGGAAACTATAACAGAATTCGTAAGATTACAAAACAAATCTTCAATTTTAAACTAGAAAAGATGTGCAATGTTTTGCTTTATGATTTCAGCTCTGATTCGTTGTTCTCCGGGCTCAGGCCAAACCGTGTGCACGTTTCCATTAGTTAATATATTGTGTTATTGATTTAATCATTATTTTACAATTGTATTTCATTGACACATCAGAAGCAACTAATATACGACTCCAACGGAAGGAAAACTAAGATATAAAACAAAAAACACTGTTCATTTTAAGTAACGTAAAATTGATAATTTTAAAAACATAGGCCTATTTCGAATATTTGTCATTTTATATATGGGTTTTTTTATTGTAGTCTAAATTAGGGGCTATGGCCCCTATAGGCCACTAGTAATTTATAAATACGTGGAGAGTATAAATATACTAAGATAACGTGGGGCATGCAATAGATAATTTACAATTACCTTCACCTGTTGAACTAATGTATTATTATCAATTGCATGCACCCCACGTTTTTTATTTTAAACCTTACAGGTATTTATACCCTCCACGTATTTATAAATTATTTTCTACTTTTTAATACGTTTAAAAACGTTTTGTTTTAAAAAAGTTTTTTATTTATAAATTATTTTCTACTTTTTAGTTTTTAATGTGTGTGGATTTTAAAGCTATTTCAAGCATCTATATCAGATTAAGACAGAGGCATTTGGGAAATCAAAGGTTTTGAGTTTCTTTTCGTATAATTATGTATTAGATTGTGTGGCCTACCTACTAACTATAAATACATCAATCTATTTAATTTATTGTTTACTTTATAGAATACTAAATAAAAAACAAATGCATTTATTAACAAACACCTTTATATCTGGAATCAGATTGTTTATGTATATTTTTTAATGTTTGTTTGTATAAAGAATCTCTCGGGAGCATAACCTGTACCTCTTAACCTCTGCTCTTCGAACTATCAAATTCAAGTATTTACAGCCGACTTCAATTAATTGATATATTTACATTCTTTCAAAATGTAAACATGGAAAATTCGGAAGCCTATGGGGCGTAGCCCAAGGGAAATATGAAAATTAAATGGTATAATATTGCATTGTCATCCATTTGTGAGTTATGTTTCAAATGTCAAGTCTCTAGCTCATCGGGAACTTCGTTTAGAATTGTTAACAAAATTTATATGAGAGCAACTAGCAAGCTAATAAAAACAAGCCCATGGGGCGTAGCCCATGGGAAATATGAAAATTAAATGATATAATATTGCATTGCCATCTATTTGTGACCTATGTTTGAAGTTTCAAGACTCTAGTTCATCGGAAACTTAGTATAAAATTTATTGCAACATTTGTAAAAAGCGAGCTATGAATAAAACCATTAGAAAACGAAATTTCTTTTAGTTAGGCTTTATTGAACAAAGAATCTATCTAATATATAAAATTCTCGTGTCACAGTGTTTGTCTGCAAACTCCTCCGGAACGACTTCACCGATCGTTATGAAATTTGGGGTGTAAATTCTGTAGGTATGCGAATCGGACGTAAACTATTTCCCGTTTCGAAATTCTTAAAAGGGCTCCGCCCCAGTGGCTCTGGAGTTTCCCATGTTAACCTTATGAGAAATGGAATTAATGAATCTTAACAGCTGTTTCAATTAAACAAGTTGGTTCTGTTCTATGATGTTCAATAGCATTAAAGTTACAAGGATTGCCAACAGGGTGCAGCACTATTATTTCTTTTACATTTATGACAACAGCTAATTTGCAACCAAAAGGTGAGTGAGTGTAGCGAACGAACTTCAACCTGGAGGCGAGTGAGCGCAGCGAACGAGCTCCAACCTGAAGGCAAGTGAGCGCAGCGAACGAGCTCCAACCTAAAGCTGCGTGAGCGTAGCGAACGAGCTCCAACCCAAAGGTGAGTGAGCGTAGCGAACGAACTTCAACCAGGACGTGATTGAGCGATGCGAACGAGATCATCTTGAAAATTAAACGTAACGGTACTTTCTTTCCATCGGTCTGTCTTAGGGGAAACCTATAACTTAGGCGATACGAAGTTCGCCGGGTCAGCTAGTCATGATATAAAAAAACTAACAATATGAACCAACTAACATCAAAGTAAACAAAAACAATTTATAAACATTTGAACACATGTCACAATGTACAGATAGAAAGGAATTATATGAAATTCTTCCCCTCCTAGCTGACATAGTCTTTTAAATACAAAGGCGGGTGTACTCCTGGAGCTTCTCCTTAGACCAACATGGTCTTGACTCAGGTTTTCTTCGTCTTGGAAGATAGGCTCAGATTCGACCTCAACTTCAGAACTTCTTTCATTTATTTGTAGATTTGGGTTTGTGTGTTCTTCATGTCTTAGATCGGAGTTCGAGTCTTCTTCATGTCTTAGATTGGAGTTTGAGTCTTCTTCATGTCTTAGATTGGAGTTTGAGTCTTCTTCATGTCTTAGATTGGAGTTTGAGTCTTCTTCATGTCGTAGATTGGAGTTAGAGTCTTCTTCATTACGTGACACTTCTCCTACAGATGCTAAATGCCTGGAACGCACAGTAGTTTCTCGGCCATCTGCATATCTTATGTGAGAATAAAGGATTCCCCTCAAGGAGCAGTACTTCTTCAACGAGTGTTCATATTTTGAGCTTCTGACAGGCCGTTTGATAAGCACTAGACCTAGGTTCATGAGCAACGAGGGAGTTGTATTTCCATAACTAGATCTTATAGAAAAGAGAAATAGTCTTTCATGTGGTGTCATTTCAAATACATTGTTGAGGTAAACAATAACGACCGGATAGATCGTAAATGTAGTTTTTCCCAATAAGATATGTCCAGATGTTTACTTTTAAGTGATAGTTCGATTGTCTTCCCAATTATACCAACATACCTCTCTGCTTGCCCGTAGCCCAGAGCATTGTAAGCGTGTTGTACGGCTGGTGGCAACTCCTAGTGAACATAAAAATGACTTGAGTTCTTGAGACATAAAACTTGAACCTCTGTCAGAATGAACATAAGCCGGTACTCCAAACATTGAGAAAATAAGAAGTTCCTTGAGAAATTCCTTAAGTCTCAGAATAACAGTTCTAGCAGTTGTATCTTGAGTAGGGAATGCGAATGGAAATCGAGAATATATCCACGACTATTAAATGATATCGATTTCTACTTGTGGATGGAAGTGGCCCTTTCAGATCGATGTTAAGTCTTTCAAATGGTTGAGTAGCTTTGATGAGTTGTCCTTCATGTTTGTGGAATCAAGGTTTTACCTCTAAGCAGGTTTGACAGGAGGAAGTTACTTTTCTGATCTCATCCAGTGAATAAGGCAAGTTTTTACTCCGAGTCCAATTATACATCCGAGACACTCCTGGATGACATAAAGCGTCATGAAGTGATACTAGGTTTGAAAAGCTTCCTTCCATTGATGAACATTCCCTGGATAAAGCATCTGCTGTTTTGTTCTCTTTTCCAGCTCTATAAATAGTCTCATTATTATAACAAGATAACTCAACTCTCCATCTCATTCTTGATTTTGCTCGCATTTCGATCACTGAACATGAAGGCTACAGATCGTTGATCTGTTGTAAAACGAAAGTGTCTGCCTATGAGATAGTGCCTCCATTTTCTTAACGCTTCCACTAATGCATAATATGCTTCTTTCTCAAAAGATGAATGTTTCTGTTCCGAGTTCGTTAGTGTTCTAGAGAAAAATGCTACAGGTCTGCTATCAATAGCCAAAGCTGCGCGTATTGCATGATTTGATGCATTGGTTTCGACTGTTAACAATCCATCACAGTCAATTGAAGAAGTTACTGCATTAACAATGGATTCTTTCAAATACACACTTAGCTTCTTCATTCAGTAGAAAAGAACTTCTGTTTAAACAGCCTACCTTCTCAGAAAACTTAGGAATGAATTGTGAGTAGTGGGAGAACATAGGTACCAAGAGCTCTGTGAAGAGAGTTTGAGTTAGTTGGAATGGGAAGATCTCGAAGGGGTTGCAAATGATCTGGATCTGGTCTTATTGATTTTACACTGATTACATAACCTAATAGATGGATCATGGTGGTAGAAAACTTGCATTTATGTTTGTTCAAAGTAAGATTATATTTGGAAACAGCTTTCATTAAATTTTTCAAGTTCCTGTCATGTTCAGCCTGATCATTACCACAGATTGTTATATCAACCCCTTCAACCCCTTGAACCCTTGAACCCCTTCACGTTTTTTACAAGTAAATATGTTGGTTAAAGTACGTTGAAAAGCAAGGACACCATTACGAACTCCAAATGGCACTCGGGTGAATTGGTACAAGTTCCCGCAAGCCTCAAATGCCGTGTAAGCTTTGTCATTTTCTGTTATTGGGATTTGGTGATAGGCACTCTTAAGATCAATAGAACTACAAATTTTGTGTGAAGCTACTTCGTTGACTATGTCATCAATCCTAGGGAGAGGAAACGCATCAAGTTCTGTAAAACGATTGTCTGTAATAATCCACAACCATTCTCCGCTTGTGGTTATCTGTTGAAACAACAAGGACTTGTGCTCTCCATGGAGACCTGCTCTCTTCAATAATACCATCTTTCAACAGTAATTGAATTTCACTTTCAATAAATTGTTCGTCAATTGCTGAGTGCCTTCGAGATTTTGTTGCAATAGGCTTGCAATCTGGAGATAGATTACCAAATAGTTCTACTGGCTCAACGTTAGCTAAGGCTACACTACATATGTTGAGAGGAGACTCTTTTCCTCCAAAATTTACTTGTAAACTTGAGTGACTTTTCAGAATATCATGCCCTACAATAATGTCAGAACATAAGTTTGTAAGTACGCTGAAGACCACATTCTTGTAAATATGATCTTGCAATTTGAGATTATACAGTTTGACTGATAAACTGAGGCCTTTACTGTAGAAGTTTGTGTTTTGTATTTTCTACATACCTTTTGGTAATGACCTTTAATGCCACATCCTCTGCATAAAGCTTCTTTAGCTGGACAAGCAGCTCTGTTGTGTTTCTTAAAGCCGCAGAAGTAACATGTCTGATTGAGTGAACATGTTATACTTTCTTGAGATGGATACGATTCTGGTTCGGCAGCCGAAGGTCTTGGATCAGGGCTAGATAAGTATCGATTCTTTTAACTGATAGTCTTTGAAGCTGCAGCGTTAATGGTTGGTAAAAACTTCTCTAAATTTTATTGTTCAGAATGATATTTAGCAATATCGAGTGATCTGGCTTGAGAAACGGCTTCATCCAAAGTCAAGGCAGAGCTCTCCAACAATCGTTGACGAATGTGAGGTACTAGCAAGCCATCAATGAATGTGTCTCTGATGTATTCATCTCTACTAGATACAGCATTAACAGCTTTAAAGTTACAATCCTTGGAAAGGCGCTTCAGAGATTCTACATAATTATCAATGTTCTCACCAGTATCTTGTCTTCTGATTCTAAGTTTATGACGTGCGTAAATTTCATTGACAGGTTTCAAGTACAACTTTTTCAACACATCAATTGCTTGTTTGTATGTTTCACAGTCATTTACATACTCATAAACGGATGGTGAAATGAAATTGGTTAATACTTTAAGCCTCAGTTCTTCACTGATTTTACTAGCTTCGATGAAGTTTTCTGAAGTGTGAAACCAATGTTTCCAATCTTGGACTTCATTAGGATTGACATTAAATATCTCAGGTCTAAGTATAAGTTCCATGATAAAAGATTGATGTATATTTTAATAAAAGATTCTTTGTTCAATAAATTGTTGTAGATTGAATGTTTAAAACCATTACAAAACGAAATTACCTTTAGTTAGGCTTTATTGAACAAAGAATCTAGCATGATATAAAAAGCTAACAATATGAACCAACTAACATCAAAGTAAACAAAAACAATTTCTAAACATTTGAACAGATGTGACAATGTACAGATAGAAAGCAATTATATGACATACTTACATCCAACCAAACCACCTCTTCTTTATTAATTTGTTGCGGACCAGCTGGAGTAACAGTTTTAGTTCCATGAAAATTTACGTCATACTGACACCAGATTTGTTTCTCGGTGATTTCCGGCCGAATGAACCCTACAGTCATTTTCATGTAGTCAGAATCAAGTGATAAGAAGAAAGATGATTGTAAGCTGGACAAGGACGAACAATCCAGTCCTTTGACAGCTAGTTTGAAGGATCCAAGTTGTTTGATGACAGATATTTGTTCCGAAAGTCCACTTTTGTAACACAACATGGTGTAATGGTTACTCCGTCCACTGTCAGAATATTTACTTAGGTATACGGCTTTAAGATCACTCTCTTTTACAGTTATCTTATCTTCTTCCAAAAGTATGTCTTTCTCTGAAAAATACAATTTAACTCTTATAAAAATTAACTTCACAATTTGTGATTCGCATCACTTTAATGCAATATCTGACTTGATTATTGTTACACACTAGTACAAGCTATTAATAAACTGTAAGAAATAATTTCTGTAGAAAGGTGAATGTTATTATAGGCCTGGGGTTTTATTATTGGTTTTATGGGGCCTCGCTTGCTGATTGGTAATTCGGACACTCTTGTTTGATTCCGTTTCCAGGGATCTAAAAAAAATATTCTGTATTCCAAAGCCCGTGGATTTCAAGCAACAATTTCAAGGTATTATCGTATTATTTAATTATAAACAGACAAGTATTCAGGAAATCTTAATAGCGTATCCTCGTACAATCAAGATTCTATTTTTATTCTATAAGCAATTTTATTTCTTTATTTAGTTTATGGTACCAAGATATCAATTTTGTAGTTTTCGGTAGATATAATTTTACAGCATTAACTCTACCTCCCATTCGTTTAGCCTATTACTTAAAATGGTTTACAATACCTGCATATAGTAATCCTTTGTTGCTGATATTGGCAACTAGTTTCGGTTCATTATTGAACCATCTTCAGGCCTCAAGGTGTCAAATAATCACTTTATTCGAAAAGGTCGTTAATAACAGAGTTCAATAAATAAGACATATACAAAACACGATACACGGAACGGACACACATTACAAAAAACACGAAAAACACGAAGGGACATTGACAATCGATCGTGACCGGGCTGAGGTAAAGTCTAGACTCAGCCTAAAACTACCTGTGCCCGGTCACGATCGATTGTCAATGTCCCTTCGTGTTTTTCGTGTTTTTTGTAATGTGTGTCCGTTCCGTGTATCGTGTTTTGTATATGTCTTATTTATTGAACTCTGTTATTAACGACCTTCGAATGAAGTGATTATTTGACACCTTGAGGCCTGAAGATGGTTCAATAATGAACCGAAACTAGTTGCCGAAATCAGCAACAAAGGATTACTATATGCAGGTATTGTAAACCATTTTAAGTACAATACAGTAATCCGGAGGCTAAACAACTATTTTTTAGCCTATTACTTACGTTTCAGCAGCAAGTTAAAATCTAATGACACCTGAAACAATTTTTGAATTACTATGTATTTGGCATAAACAGGCAACCACTTGTATACTTTAATACTGATCAGGTTAACTAGTAGCAGTTATAATCCGTTTTATAGCCAACTTTTTAATGTAACAAACAAAAAATTAAACACATGTCGTCATAACATATAATCGTAGAGTATATTTAATGCATACGTTTTGGGGGTTATTTATAAACCGTTTATTCCTGGGCTACGAGAGAACCTATTTATTAAGGTGCCGTAAGGATAACGTAAATATAATTGTGTTATTAACAGCACTCGTTTCCTTACCGTGTACACGACTGAAACAAACTGATTTAAGCTATGGAGTAGGCCTACTGGCGAGTCTCATGATTGACCACTGCTCAACTGGTCAATTGAAGATGTTGAGGAGAACGGAAAATGGGACTCCTATTTACAATTTGTGGAATATTTCTAACTGTTTATATTATTTATATAAAGGGTAGTTCAATAAAACGTACTCACTTATACTAATCCATATATTTAAAGCTTACAAATCAGAAACACGAACTACAATCATGGAACGAGAGAAAATAATTTATTTATAAAAATAAATACCTCTGCCTTAAAAAATAAGGTTGCCAATGACACAGAAAAATAGTACACATAAGATATCTAAGGATTATACAGCTATAATACTGATTAATTTTGATGTTTTCCATATAGATGATTTCTCATTATGGTCAATGAGCCTCTTAATGTTTCATGAATAATAATTTTCAAGAAGGATCTGTCCAAATCATATTGTTTCCAAAAGTTCACAAAACATTTTGATAATGTTCCTCTAGAACCAATAAACAATCCAATCACCTCAATTTTTGAAATTTTAAAATTTCGCTTGAAATATTCAAAGGTAGAATCATAATTTTTTTTTCTTTTCTTCATTTACTTCGTCAGCTTGATTTATGTTTGTTTCAAATCGAATTGTAGGATCAAGAATTATGCCTTTGTTAGTATCTCTTTCGATTAATAAAATATCTACTCTTCTGGTGCTTCCGTTAGAAGAAAGACAGTGTACTTCTTCTTGCACTTCCCATGTATTATACCTTTTTCGGAAGGCATTTGCTATGATACTTCTTATTTTGTGGTGCCTTGTGTTTCTTAGAAGTTCACCAAACGGACAGAAGCCTAGGGCATGTGCAAGGGTTTCAATCTCACCACAGGCATGCCTGCAGCGGTTATTGCCCTGACTTCTGCCGTGGAGAACACGCACTGGCACCACATTTGCAATCATTTTTATAATGTCTTTCCACTCAGATTCTGACAAGCCTTCTTTATTACTCGAAATGTGTTCAAAATGACCACCATTTAACCTGTATACAACGCTGATGTCACAGAACTGCAGACTGGACTACAAATGTCAGCAATCGCAGCAAATAACGCTGTGATGTTGTCTTGAAACTTGTTGATTGTAGCTGAATTTATTGAACAACCCTTTATTATTTATTTCAAATTGATCCATTGCATTTAGTAATTTTCCTTTCCCGAAGTAGTGTTAGAATGCCGCGACTTCATTTCTATATTCAGCATATTATGAAACATTGGGGAAACTCATTGAGGAGCTTATTTTCAGATCCTAGCCCAAAATATCTCCGCCATGCCAAAGTAAAATTTAAATATCGTAAATATTGTAAATAGTGTAAATATATGTTTGTATTGACAAACTCTTATGAGTTGACGCAATCTATCTGACAGTGTCGGCCAAGGGTGAAGACTTCAAGTGTTTCAAGTAAGAATAAGTACCTAAGTAAGTATTTCAAGTAATCTGAATTTGGTAAGAATTGTAGGAAATGAACGTTATCGCATTAGTTTTGGCTCGATATCTATAGCTACCGAGAACAGATCCACAGGTACTTTGTCACGGGATTCCATCTCTTTTAGTATTCCAACAGTTTTGATTTTACAGAAATGGGAATTTTATTACATGATCCTAAATGAACAAAATCTACTATGACTGGACGTGTAAAAATCGTATGTTCTGCCGTTAAACCCACTTCGCTAAATACAATAAAAGAATAGTTCAAGTTTACTTAACGAACAAGAAATCTTTACCATTATAAATCAAGGAAACTATATACAAAATTGCTGATTTGTCAATTTCCTTTGAGCGGGGTTATTGAAAATATTCGATTTCTAATCCATCAAGATATGATGGTTTTGCCTGTACTAGAGAAGTAGACCTAACTAGTCATTTCCCAAACAAAGAAAGTTCCCTTTTAATTCAACAGAATAGGCTGGTGCCACACTACCCCTTTCGCCGGTCCGGTTAAACGGGACCTTTTTGGAGGGATCATTCTATCTCATGGGAGCGGTCACATTGTTGCGGTTGCGGTGCGTCGGCGGGATCCACCGCATGCTGCTACGGTGTAGTGGGACGACCGGACGACCGGACGACGGGACGAAAGGCGAAACACATTAAGCTATTTCAATAATATGCTTATTTAAGAGAGCAGCCACACCATCCCGTTCTGCCGCACGTGTGTCCCTACTGTTGTCGCTATAACAGTGCTCAGCATGAGATGCTCGCGCTCTTCACTTGAAGAATGTTGCGGTAGAGGAGGAAGGTGTGACCACAGAGCACTGTGACATGGTAATGCAATGCGGTAAAAACGAATTCCGCTCAACCGCATCCCGCTAATCGGGATAGTGTGGCACTGGCCTTACGAGAAATATTGTTCAAACAGCTTTTAAATTAAATTACAAACTTTACAGAATTACTAGATTGTAGAGTGATAGTTATGATATAAAACCAAGAGGTTTCGCGTGAGTATTTGCATCGTGAAGTATAAGTATCGATCACTACGGGTTACGACAATTCCATTCCGGGGCTTGATAGTTGTTTTCCATGCTTCCTATCGCTCTATTTGCCCCGGAAAGGTGACTTTCAGGATAATTAGTTAAATGCACTAACTGTAGCTCTACTTAGCTACTGTTCACCAATATGTTAAGAGAATGACGGTAAAACTACTGACAAAAAAAAACTGACATATTCTAGCACGTCGCATTTCAACCTTCAAGAGCTATTTTTATCCAATAAAAAAAACATAATGTAAGTTAACACAAAACTAAATCTAGTAGTATATTACGTTACTAGTCCGGTAAATGGTGTTTTACCGTACGAGCACGCACTCTGGGCATAGCCGAGTGCGGGATTTTCGTACGAGTACGGTAAAGCTTAGGCTACCGGGCGAGTAACGTACGATACTTTACATCATACTACACAGAAAATAAAGTAAATTTTAAACTCATAACACATTTTATTTAGGACATAACATAAATTATGTTAGTTTTATATTTCTGAAAATAAAATAGGCAGTTGCAATTAGCTGTTCATTTCATCAAGTGCACGGTAAAAGTTCATAATGTAGTATGATGTAAATAATTTTATTAATATTTTCTGCTCGGAAAACGTAAATAATTGAGTTTCATTTTACCTCGGTCCATTTAATTTTTGTCAGGTCTTTATCATAGAACGCCGGTTCGATTTTGGTTAAAAAAACGAAGAAATAGTGGATCCTGGCGTTGTAGAGACACCAAGGGGTTTCCAGTTTGAAATGTCTGCCGTTTTGGGGGGACTCCGCTAAGGGCGCTCCTACAGTATAAGTGCCTGGATAACTGGATGCGAAATAAAATACTGAATTCACGTCCTTAGAACAGTCTAATCCTGTAATATGAATGGCTGATGTTTCTCCTGATCTTATGTCCAATACATGTTCCTTGTTACTACTTTCATAGCAATTGAGATTGTAGAGTCCATCGTCACTGATGTATCTGGCGACTAGTTTATCTTTCCGTATGCCTACTTGGTTCCCTCTGAGTATATGGTTTTCTGAAACAGTATGATAATCATTAGTTAGGGCCTACTGATATGGAGCAAACACTCTGGCTTAATGGACTATTTTACTTGTGATTAATTAAAGCAGAAATCTCGTGTATTGAGCTGTGTGGAAGAATCAAAACTAATCATTTTATCGTAATATCAACATCTATAATAAGAATCTATATCTATACTATAATACGAGTAACGTTTGCGCACAATGATTTCAAAAAGCGGCTCCTACGATTTCCTCAAAATTGTTAGCAATATCTTAGTTTCAGCTTTGACTATTTTCAGGCTAAAAACAATATCCATGCTAGCCACTGTTCCGGGAAAATTCGTTCTTCGTTAAAAACTTTGAATGAAATTTCAATATTTTTAACATTGGTCTTATGAAAAACTAGGTAGCCAAGACAGCTTTACAAACAGGTAATAACTATTTACCTAACCCGCCATGTTAAACTTCCCTATCCCAAGCGTGATTTATACAACTTCCTTACTTCTCGAGTGATGTAAAGTATCAAAAACTCACTCGGTGATGTAATGAAACCCATTTAAATAACATTGAGTGATTAACTTAAAAAATATACCTCTATGGAGCCAACGACGTTCAACGCTATAAATCAGCTGTGCTCTTGAATTTTATTGTTCTGTTTTGAAGAATTTTCCTAACCTAGCTTTTGTTTGTAAATGAACGTTTACTGTTAGAAGATGAGTGAAATGGATGATGATTAAATCAAATCAAATCAAATCAAAATCTCTTTATTCCTGAATTAATTTACATGTTTGTTAACAATTGTGTGTACAGGAAAAATAATTCCCAAGTAGACTATCCGTCTGTGTTTGGGAATGAGTTGCTAATACAGCTATACACAGGTCCATAAACATTCAGGAGTACTTAGACACTTAATTATGATAGTAAATAATAAAATATTAACAAGATCAAGAGAGAGAAAAAAACCTAATTGCATCGAAACATCCAAAACTCAAATCTAGTGATTGTAAGTGGTATTTAGCAATGAAGGAAAAAAGTGATTTGGTGACGCATGAAACTGCAGAAATTTACGAGTACAACGATTTGAGTAATCCCTCTGATTGCTCCCTGCCGATATTTAAAAGCCAGCTCATGACTCTACGCTTTAACACAGCGACGCTGTCACTCTCCGCCTCAAGAATATGTGAAGGCAAGTTTCTATACAATGTATGACAAACGTAATAAGGTATAGTTTTAAGGGTTGAATGGGAGAGTCTGGGAAAAGAAAAGCCGAAGTTAATGTTACTTCTAGTCAAATAACGATGTTGAATAGGAGAAAAAACCGAACATTTATTAAGATTTATGAAAATAAGAAGATTTTTTATGAACAATTGTCGAATGTTTAGAACTGGAAAGTCGCAAAACAGTTGCAAGGAAGAAAATCTAGAGTTTTTATTTAAAATAGTTTTGATAACAGATCGTTGAACGACAGAAAGTGGTTCCAGAACCGTAGGAAGGGCACCACCCCAAGCCAGGATACCATACTGCAACACCGACTGCACGTAGGCAAAGTACACGGTCCGCAACTGCTGTCCCGAATTAATATTGTTCGTAACCTCCTGTATATTGTCGGGTCAGGTAAAATCTTGTACGTTACACGTTACGCAAGAGCGTGTTTACATCACTTAGGTAAATTATGCAACACGCTTCCGCTCGTTACACAACCTTCACCTGCGTGATGTAAAAACGCTCTTACTACACTTGTAAGGTAAATAGCTATTACATCACAAGTGTAGTAAGACCGTTTTTACATCACGCAGGTGAATGTTGTGCCACGAGCGGAAGCGAGTTGCATATTTCACCTAAGAGATGTAAACACGCTCTTGCGTAACGTGTAACTTACAAGATTTTACCTGACCCGACAATATACATGGGGTTTACGTATAATATTTTTTTTTCATTATCCATTTCACTCATGTCTAACAGTAACGTTCTTTTACAAACAAAAGCTAGGTTAGGAAAATACTTTAAAGCATAACAATAACATTCAATCGCACAGCTGATTTCTAGCGTTGAACGTTGATGCCTCCATCTATCTATCTATCTATATATACGAGAGTACGCCCCGTGGTCGAAAAATCGACCAAAAGTATGTTTTGTGCAAACTTCTCTATTTTCACCCCACACTGTAAATAAAACATGTGATTGAAATGTCTTCCATTTGTTTTGATTTTCTGTTTATATTTTGTTGTTATTTTGTCATCACCATAGCAACCCATATGACCCATGTTAATTTTTTAAAATTTAAAATTCATTTTTTGTGCTTATTTTTGAGCCTATTTTAATTTATAAAGGGATTCTGCACACCTACAGGAAAATAGCTTTCTAACGGTATGCGTAGATTTTCCCTACGATACACACGAGCTGAGAAAAAAGGTTTTAAAGAAACATGCTTGCCTATTAATATATAGATAATACGCTAAGCCGATTTTTGTGAACAAAACTCCTCCCTCATTTTTGGACCGATTTTGATGATTAAAGTGTCAAAAAAATTGCCCTGATCTGTAGTTTTGCAAAGTGTTTTTCGTTTTTTGATATCTTTATTAGTTTGGGCAGGATCTTCCATCAAAGTTGAGTTTTCTCCCATAAGATTAACATGGGGGAATCTAAATATTTAATTGGAAACTTTGTATCCACTAATTTTTAGAGAACGGCTGGGCGTAGAAACTTGGTAGAGGCATAGACTAACCAACACAAGTAGACTTCTCATCCCATTGTAAATTTTGAAGCACGTTTTTCGTGTCTAGTTCATGTAAGAGACACAAAGGCGCTAGTATCGATGAAACTTTGTTTCCGTTATTTTAGGGTTAATTTCTTGATTTGTGCTTTACTGTTTGGTTATATAACTAGGGGACAAGTTATTGTTTATGATTAGATCGTATTATTTGGTTAAACGATGTTTTAAATGGCTGTAATAACGGGAAACAAATTGTAAACAAAACACGACCTCTACATAAACCGTACATGAACTAACCATAAAATTGTCTTCAGCTGTTCCATAAGGATGAGAAATCTACTTAGGGAGTATGTTTTATCTATGGTAGAGGTGTCCAAAGAAAGGTCTTGGTCTGTAGATGAGTTATCAAAAGAAAAACTAAGTAAATTCGCTTAGGGCTCTGCCCCAGAAGCCTTTAAAAATCCCCCTACAGATTTGTTTACATTTTGGTTATGTGGATCATTACTGATTAATAAAACAGCTGTTAATTTTAAAATTGTATTTTAAACAACACACATTTATTGGGAGTTACTGAATTGTCCAAAAGAAGTATTTACAATGTTATTTTCTGATTTTAAAATTGATTTTCTTCTGTATCATGTCATGTGTTTTAATATAAAGTTCCATTACAAAATCAGTGGAAAATCCTTTTATAACTCCTAACTCTTACAATTATTTCTTATTGAACTATCTTCTATCTATTTTACAGGTTGATTTCTGCCTCTCTCACACCTTTTCCCTATATTTTATCATATTTTTCTAGACGGATCATCATAGGTTCATGAGATTATTGTCATACTGTACATGCTTTCAATCACTGGAAAAATCTTCGATTGTGTAATACGATACAAAATAATACTGCAGAAGGGCATGGTGCCAAATTGAGCCGAGTCCATATTAAAAAAATGAATAATTGTTTACAGCAACTGGATAAAACATTTTACAATATTTATTTAGAAATATGTGCATGATTTAGAAAGTCATTAAGCTGGAAAACTGCAATATACTGCAGACTTTTCAGAGAGGTTACTTCGATTACAGGTAACAACCAATTAACATTATTTTTTGCTTTTTGGAAACGCCACATTACTATGTCATTCGTATTATTTTTTGCCAATGAAGCTGCACAACTATATAAATGAGGAGGCCCCTAAAGTTCAAGAATAAAAGCCAACTTCACTTCAAGTATATTCCACTACACCTAACATTCCGAAGAGAGATTATATTGACATCTTTATGTAACTGATATGGCTGAGACAACTAACTGACATCCCCCATATCAAGGACAGCTTTTCTCAAAACTGTGCTAGAGGGTTATTCATTGGCTTAGAAGTATGATACGAACTGACGCGATGTGACGAAGGGAAAATCAAACTTACACTGTAAAGGATATACCTCTCTTTGAAGTTAGAACGTGTCTTCCCAACAAACAGATTTCTTTTTCAAATAAAATCATAGATTAATCTGAATTACACCAATGAAATCACGGAAGTGTTTAAGTACAAAGATCCATCAATACGATTTTAATACTATTTAAAGGTATACAGTATACGTACAGTATTGGAAATATTTTATTCGTTGAATGATCAACCATATTTGGTAACTAACACAATTAATATCATTATTGTTTTTACACTTATTAATCTTTAAACATTGCTAAATGCTCAAAATATGTATAATTTTCATTTAATTTATCGCAGTTAGATGAATAAGCGTAAGCCTTGAAAATAACCGTCGATTTCGACGGGTTTCACCTAGTAGAGGTATATTTTTTTAAGTTAAGCACTCAATGCTATTTAAATTGGTTTCATTACATCACCGAGTGAGTTTTTTTCAACTTTACATCACTCGAGAAGTAAGGAAGTTGTAAACATCACGCTTGGGATAAGGAAGTTTAACATGGCGGGTTAGGTAAATAAATAAATTGTCACATATGCATATTACAAATCATCTACAAATAGTACAGTGGAAAATAACTTACTATAGTTTTTATAGTAAGTTAAGTAGTTTTTAAGTAAGTATTTAATAGTTTTTAAGGAAAAAGAAGTTACGCGGCGCGCGTTGTTGCGCCAACAATTATTATTTTTTATATGGTAATTTGTTCTTTACAATCTATATCTTTATACATTCATCAGGTGTATGAATATATAAGTTTTTACTTTGATAAAGGTTTTTACTTTGTATATCTACATATTTAATACAGTAGGGGAGAATTTAAACTTTGTTGGGTGCACAGGTGTGCTGCGATTAGGGTTTAATATA